GTAGAGTGTCATGGGCTCATTATGAGCAAAATTGTTGTTTTTAACGGAAATTAAAAAATTGTGAATGAGAGAAAAAACAATATGTCGGTTTAAATTTGGTCATGAATGCCGAAACTATCTGTGCCTCGTCACTTAGGCAAAACAGTATTATTCAGTAATAAATGTCAACATTTGTGTATTTTAAAAGCAATTTATTACAATTTCTATCACACCCTAAAATATGGAATATATACACCTTATGGAACCACTGTTAAAGTGCTTGAAAAACGCACGTTTAAATTCTCTTATGTCACTATTTAAAATCTCTAATTAATTCATTTTTCTATAACACCATAGTCTCTTTTATTAATTTAATTCCGTAGAAGGTATAGATTGGACACCTATGTGTCCTATGTGTGATAATTGGGAAATACCTATGCTTTTGTATACACATTTGCATGACAAACAAAATTTTTTTGGATATACTATTGTTCGTTTTGTGACAGAGAGATGAGAATATATTGAGATAGATGGAAAGAGATGATTATTTTTTATACTTAAATTAAACTTATTTAATTGTTCTTTCCTAACTAAAACCTCTGAATGTGTATTATGCAGTGTAGCAATAATTTTTATCCAATATGCGGGTACAGAAACTTATCTGTTGCTGTCTTAGTTAAAAAATTTTGTGCAATAGATATCTCTCAATGACGTAGTTTTCAACCTCTAGTTCTTTAGTCACTTACAGATTGAAGAAAATAAACTGACAATTAAAAGGTAATTAAAGAGAAAAGACCTCATGCCTCATGTTGTTATGGCAATCCCGATTTGAAACCTTTCAAGAAACGTATAAACTATGGTAGCTTAAGACAATTAGTTTTATATCCCATTAAACTTAAGAATGGCGAGGTTTGTAACGAAAGCAATCACTTTTATTCGAAGGAATATAAGCCAGTAAGTCAGGGGTATATTAAATATAACTGGAGCATTTAACAATGAAGCGAAGGTTATTTTAACTGACTATAGACATTATAAGTCATTTAAGCTCTCTTAGCTAAGAGCTAAATAGAATGTATCCATATTAACAAGTAAAACGTACAAAAAACTCATCAAGGAGTGTTCTGGAACGACTGATACTGAACAATCATAAACTTACTGCCCTTATTGACCTTTTTACAGAGAATCTGGTGATAAATTCAAATGAAAGATCACGAATTATCTCACAAATAAATGAAGAGTCTTCAGACGTAGCTTCATATTGATACTATAGCTAATTCAAACTATATGAAAGTCTGAATGGCGCCAAGATATAAAATCGAATTATGTAACTTTCAGGCTGTATACACATTGCTCAAAAGCTAAGAAAAGTTGAAACCAGCATCTACAATGATTAAGTTAGATTATATATATCATATATATATTAGATCATATATACTTACTGATCACTATGGTATGTACTAGTGCTGTTCGTATTGGGTTTTACGAAGAATCCGAATAATTGAAAAGTAAACGAAGTCTTCGAAGTTGGAAATAAATCCGAATTTTTTGTAAATTCGAAGTCTTCAAATATCCAGATTTGTGGTTTTTATTCGCATTGAATTTCTTCGAAGACTTCGTGAACAAAAGTTAAAGCGAGAGTACAAAATGCAAACAAACGTGAATCACACAAGCTGTTTGAGAGATGATAGAATTTGTTTGTTTTTTACTTTATTTAATTTAATTTTATTTTATTTTATTACATATCATTTTTTTTGTCTTTTTATTAATGCAACTAGTTAATACACTTAAGACTAACAAGCATTTTTAGTTTAATAAATTACAAATGTTCACGCTAAGGTTTTATTACTTAGTGAGGTCAGAGGGTTTTGTACGTTTTAATCTCCGTGCTGAGTCAGTTGCGTTGACTAATTGCAAAACTCCACATTTACAATATTTCTAAGTACTTTGTTTTGAAAACGCTGTATTATCATAACATTGCTTTTAATGGTGCATACCCATAACTGTAAACCATAAATCCATACAGGCTTTAAAATTTGATTGTAAATCAGGAGTTTAATTTGTGTCGATAACGCTGAACGCCTATCAATTAACCATTTTATCTGCTTATACTTTAGCTCAAGTTCTAGTTTTTTCTTTTTCACATGCTCTTTCTAACGTAGTTTAGCGTCTAAGGTCATGCGTAAGTATTTATATTTAATTAGCAATGAGAGCCCCTTTTATTCATAAAGTCAACATGTACCGATTTTGTATTGTTAAGCTTGAGTCGCCATTGTATCGTCCACTCATGAACATTATTAATAGCTAGTTGGAGAGTTTTAGTTGATTCCATTTCATTAGAACCAATTGAAATTAGAGCTGTATCAGCAAACGTCGCAATTTAACAATTTTCTGTTATTGAGAATTTGATGGTTCAATTCTTGAATTGCTGTTTCTAAAGCCGAATTGATGATTTGGAATTAGGTTTTGTTTTTCTAAAAGATTTGATAGTCTCTTTTTAAATGCTTTTTCAAAAACCTTCGTCAAAATGGGTAGCAAGGGTATGACTCTATATAAAGAAACTTCATATGCAGGTTCGCCAGGTTTAGCTACCATTATTACTTCAGCTACCTTCCAGAAGGAGGGTACGTATCTCAGTTTGAAGCATGTGTTGATAAGAAATGTCAGAATTTTGATGGCATTTTTTGGCAAATTCCTTAAAATCTCAGCTGTCAAGAGGTTAAGTCCAACAGCTTTTTTGGGTTTTAGAGACTTAATAATGTCTTTTATTTCCTGAGCAGAAGCTGGAGGTATGCTTATTTTGCTGTCTAGTTTTATATAAGCGAAAATATTCGCTTCAGCATTTTCTATTGTAAAAGTACTTCTAAGATATTCCGAAAAGACTTCTGCTTTCTGCTGATTGCTTTTTGCCCAATTATTTTCAAGTTTCAATGGCGAGAAGTGTTTCACTGGTCGTCTGAGGTTTTTTGTTGCCTTCCAGAGTGAGTAGCGTGAATTCTTTTCGCACGATAAATTATCTAGAAATGTTTTGAAGGAGTTTTTAAGATATCTTGTCCTTTGAGTCAATATTTTACAGACTTTATTAAGCAGAGACTTATCTCCAGGAGATCTGGTCATTTGCCACTTCCGTCTAAGTTTGCGTTTTTCATTGGGATAGTTACAGCCAGTAGTAACCTGCCTCATAAAGGGAGTACTATTTTAACAAGCATTATGTATATTTTCTGTAAATTTATCTATATCGCTTTCTAGTCGGTGTGCATCTTCTATGGCGATAACATGATTTATCATTAATTGATTGGCAAGTTCCAATCTATGAATTTATTAGACAGAAAATACGGATTTTCTTTTTTTACTATAGAACTGCAAATATTTAAAAATATTGGGGAATGATCTGAGTTCAGATCACCTCCATCCTTAATTTCTATAAAGCTTTTAGAAACTTTTCTTGAAATAAAAAAAGTCAATAAGATCAGGTATGTTACTTTGATCTGTGGGCCAATAAGAAGGTTTTCCCGTCGATATTGTTTCACAACCAGATTGTTGAATAGCTTTCAGAAGTTCCGAACCTTTAGTCGTAATAAGTCTCGAACCTCAAAGAGTATTTTTAGCATTAAAGTCGCCACCAAGAATAAATTCATCTCCAAGAGCCTTTAACGCTTCAATGTATTTTTCTATATTTCTATATTATTTTCCTATATTATGCCGCGGAGGGCTATATACCATAAAGCCGCTATCGTTAAAGGTTGGTCAGCTTCGATTTCAACTATCTGGAATTCAGGAGCTGTTAACTGGATTCCTTAGCGATGCTTAATGTTGTTCCGGAGTATAATTGCGCCACTTCCTCGTGCACAATATCCGGATATACTGAGTGGTAAGTTGAACAGCTTTTGAAATTTATATAAGACGATCTAGTAAAATGAGTTTCGGCTAGTATGAAGCAAAAGTTCAAACTCATCTTTGTGTTTTAGGACGCCGTTAGCGTTCCATAAAATTACCCTTATAGTTTTAACCATCGTGTGGTTTTTTGGAGAGCATTTCTAGGTTTTTTAAACATTTTTCAATCACCTTGTTGAATTCTTCTTGCTTATTTAATTTCTCCAAGATTTGCATAAGGATTGCATTTTCAGACTTCGGATTTTGTGTTTCTAGTTTTAGTTATTTGTACATGTGTGTGTGGGGGGATTGCATTTTGGATTCTGTTTTTAGACGGGAACTCCATGTCTTTTACATTACATGTTATTAAATAAAAAATTTATATATATAAATTATGTTAAAAAGATTATATTAATGAAAATTTTAAATATAATATGATATACATATGTGCGAATTTGATAATAGTATTAATGCATTTATAAAAATATTATTTTTATTTTTTTATTAGTAATGGAAATTTTGCTTATACATTAATTTATATTTTGTTTAGATACTTTGATACAATATTATGTATATCTTACTTTTTTCTTTGAAATAAGGATTTAGAAATTTTCCATAAATAGTAAATCATACTAAAAACAGTAATTGCAACAAAAAAATCATAATTTTATTATTTAAAAATAAATTTGCGCTTACCTGTGATGACTTCAAGAAGGACAGAGAGCTGGCAATAGAGGAGGAAATATATATATTTTATAATTATACTTTTTGCTGTGACGATTACTTTTAAAATGTCTAGGAATTTCACAATTTGGAAAGTTGAAGGTTCTCTAGAAACGTCACCTTTATGTAATATACTTCTAATAGAAATCTATAATAAGGTTATAGACCAATAGATTTAACCTCACTCAATAATATTGATGTAGTTCTTTTTATTGGATATATTATATATATTTTATTTTGACCACTTCCCATTTTTTTAACTTCGTCGTTTAAGGATTCAGATTTCTCAAGTTTATAAAATACCTTTCTTTTTAGCCTTTTTTCGATGTTAACTTCATAAAATTAAAAACAAAAATTTAATTTTTTCTAAAAAATTTTCTTAATTTTTTTTTTATTTTTATTATTTTTTTTTATAAATTTTTCTTCCTTTCATTTTTACTTCTCATTTTGTAGTAGAAAGACATTTAATATATAAATAAATAAAAATGTGTGTCATGTTTGAGTGTGTGTGTGTGTTCTGTTTAAGTGGGTGAGTGTTTATAACATTTTCGTTTTGATTTACTTAAAATTAATAGTAAGAATATTATATTTCATATTATAATATATAAAATTGTATATACTTTATAAGGAATTAACATACAAAATACATGATTTTAGGCGGAAACGAACTAATTGCCGCGCGAAAATCCAAGGAAACGAAGATACCAAATACATTTAGATTTTTGTATAAAACTAGGGATGTATAAATATATCAAAAACAACACGTTCTCGCAAATATTTGTATCCGCACTCATATGTGTCACAATCATATATGCATATGCGAATACAAATTCACTTGCATTTAACACTGGAAAAGGATAATACGCAACAATTCCATATAATGTTTTTTCTCTTTCTTGTTACATAGGTTAATTTTAAAAATTAATTAAACAATAAAGTAAATGTAAATCTAATTTAAAATTGTTAAATAAAATACAAAAAATAATAGTTAACAAAACAATTTTTAATTATATATATTTATATTTTGTATTTTTTTATTTATATTTTTTTTGATTTTTGCTTTATCTAATAAAATAATTTTTACAATTTGTATATTTGCTTCGCAATTATTTATACAATTTACATTTGTTCAAAGTTGGCAGCACTGGTGCCTGTTATAACTGTTTTGCAACTGTCGCATGCCGACATGTGCCGACAAATGCTGACGACAGGATTGCATTTTTAGCGACGATGCCTGACGATGACTGCGTTTCGGTACTTGCTACATGCGTTGCTTGAGGACGAGTGCTCCAGTGACGGTGTGCGATTATCGGGTCATGCGACAGCCTAGCTGCCTAGGCATTGTGCCCATCTTTTTCTTCAACGTTTCGACGCTTATCTTTATTTATTTTTTCTGTGTTCTATTCTGCTGTAAATGATAAAGTCTAAAATTTATACTTAAAAATTCAAAAAATATTCAGTCCATTTTGTTTGCGTTTGTTTAAAATATTCAAACTTTTAAAGCAGAGGTTACGGCTTAAAATCCTTGGCATTAAATGCTCTGCTCGTTCTTGCTATACATGCTGGGTCGTGCTCGTATTCATCCTCGTGATCATGCGCTCGGTGCGTACGGTGCGTGCGGCTTCTAGCTTTCGAACACACTACAAATACTATTTACACATAGGTCATTTCTCACACATGCACCTTTTCACGGCTACTGTGTTTGTTAGCATATTGTTGTTATTAATGTTGTTGTTTTGATTAGCTGCAGACCGTTAATATCGGCAATGAAAAGTTTTGACTCTTCGACATTACTAGCGGTTTATTGGCTTATCGACAACCACAGCCGACGGCCGTCATATCCTGATAGTTCTTGAGTACAACTGTGTTCTGATCGTTGAGATAGAGCATTGAGATGCCCTCAAGCTGTGTGGGTACACAGCATGGCTTTGGTACCTTTCCTGGATTGATATTATTGACTAAAGTTTGCACAACCGCATGATTTGTTGAATTGTGATGTTCCGCTAGTGGAAATGGACATTTTCCATGACAAAAAAATGCGTCGTAGCCGGGTGGCGCTACAATCCAATTGCTCCAGCCGACATCAGCAAAATCAACATATAGCGAATGCCGACGGCAATTCTCTTCGTGATTTTTCCTACGATGTGGTCGCCTGTGGTAGCCAGCACGTTTTGAGCGTGTGCTTACATCGCGTATGGAACGCGATTTATGCCGTTCATCGTCCGTGTAGGTAAAGAGTATTGGTTGTTTGCGTTGCCACTCTTCGTGTGGCTCCTCCGTACTGCGTCGTAATCGTACATGATGATGTGGAGCGGGCTTTAGATGGTGACCTGTACGCACCTCTACCAACAGTCCGAAATTTCTTTTCGGTGAATCCAGCCACCGTTCAACTGCTGGTTGTACATCCATATTTACCTTATCTGTGCTATTGAGACGAACTGTTTTATTGTCCAATAGCAAGAAACTAGCATCACGTTTGTCTCGTATGCCAACGTCTATGATATCATAAACCAACACTTGGTACCGCGTGCGGCTGGATTGACGTGGATTTAGAGCCGCATGACTAATCATGTCCCGCGAGAGTTGTAATTCAGCAGCTTTTAGCTTCTCTTCGGCGGGTATACTTTTAATATCAAACTTTAAACGAAACCGATGATGATGTGGAAATCGATCGTCGATTTTACTTTCTGTAAGAGATCAAAACAAGAAAAAACAAAATATATGAGAAAAATTTGTTAGATATATATATATATATATATATATATATATTTTCAGTATATGTATAAAATTAAATCGTAATTTTTGTTGAGATATTGGCGTTTTGGGGTTCTAGACTTTTTTGGGAGCGTCTTTAGAAAGAAATATATGTCTTCAGAACAATGTAGACTGAGTAAACATCTCTTTCCTAAAATGAGAGTACCGAAGAAAAGAAATAGAAATAAAAATACAGATTTTTGAAAGTCAAAGTCGAGTACTACTTCAAAAGGCAATATCAGAACTATTTGAGACAGCCATGAAAACTTTAGAATGATCGCAAATTTCTTGCTTTTAACATAATATGTATTGTCTATTTATGTTTAACTTTTTATTTCAGTAAACACCTTCAGAACTTAAGACATTATCTATAGAACTTTCTTTATGAAATTAAATTAATTAAATATTAATATAAATAATATATTAATAGTTAAAAAGGAATACAAAGTTTTGAATCCTTTATCACTAAGTGATTTCTTTCCACTTCTGTTGGATCCATTACTGTTAAAAGCCGAAGATTATATAGTGATTTAGAAAGCTAATGTCAGCATTTTTCAGGAAAGTGCGATAGCAATTTCAAACAATATTTTGCATCGAGGCAAACAATTAAAGGCACTTATTACCCAAACCCATTGCATCCATTTCACAATATTTCGAAGAAAATTTTTTACATTTGACTAAAAGAAAATGTTTTTCTATTGAGACGAGACAAGGCAGACGTACATATAACCGCTCCGTACTTTCCCCATCTTTATCGCCCTAAATTCAACAGATTTGCCACCTAAACAGGGTATCACCTAAGTAGGTATATGCGCTCGATTTTCAAAAACAAAACACACAAAATAAAATGGCATAACAAAACTAAAACGTGAACTAAGACCACAAGAATTCAGAGAGAAAGGAAATGCTTCTATGGAAAATGCGGATGTAAGAAAGAAAGGGAAGCAAAAGTTTACGTATGCAGCAGCAATTTCAACTGTTCAAGTAGTTAGCGTCATACGGAGAAAAGAGACTTACTGCCAGAAAGCAATTAATCGACGAAAGTAAATGATTTTCCTCAAACGTCTTAAAAACGTGGAACGTCACTGAATTAAGTTTATCAAGCTGAAAGGGAATATAAATGGGTTTACTGAGCTTTTCTAGCAACTTAATAACTTGAGCTCATACTTTAATCATTTAAAAAAAAACAAATAATTTATTCTCTGACCACATAATATATATATGTTGCACTCTAAGGAAACAACTACCTATATACACAATCGATTGCAATATTATTAAAACAAAAATATAAACCAATAATATATTAACAATTATTGTATGTAAAGTATAAGCCCTATTATAAAAGTACTTGAGGAAGTAAATAAAACAAAAAGGTCAGAGTCAATTCCAATAGTCATTTGAGTTATATTTTGTGTAGCAATTACCTCGTGGTATTGGTTAAATCTAATTGGGTCAGTGTTCAGTTAAAACATATTAGAAGACTACCGGTAAGAAGTACCGAAATCTTCAAAATGATGCCAATAAATTAAAATTTTTAAGAATGTGATTTCGTTATGCGTTGTGACATTGGTATCGATCTAATTGGGATAATGTTCTAAAAAGCGACGTGAAGACCACCATTACAATGACTGCCTGAAAATTCAGGATAATTCCTATATTTTTCAATAAATTTAATTATTTTAAGAAAACCAATCATCTTGTGATAACTAATATCACAAGATATTAGTACAACTGAGAGAGTGCCAGAAAGAAAAAAAAATAACTTTTTAAATATTTTATATTAATTTTTAGTATGTCAGAGGCAGTGATGCACTAGTATTATAGAACGAACGTTTATTAAGAACTGCAGTTTTCTGCAACTTTTAATACAAATACAATTTTTAATAAAATTTATCTGTTCTTCTTTATCTGTTTAAAAGGAGGATAGTAGAGTCCACAGAATTGAATAAATGTGTAGTAAAGACCTCTGAAATCATATTCTAATGATCATGTTGAAGTATTGGAATAACATTGGAAAACAACTAACTCCTTTTATGAGGATTGCGCACATCTATTCAGACTGTTCTTCAGTGTGTTTTCTCTTCTATTTAAATTACATTTAACGTATGTTTAAACTAAATATGATTGCTGCATATATCTCATACATATTAATATACATATTAATCACTACATATTACTAATATTAGTTTCGATCCCTAAAATTAAATCTAGTCTCGAACTGATCATAATTTATATTAAATAACATCAAAATTTAAAACCTGTTCTTTTAAACAAAAATATATGGTATTTTTCTAAATGCAACTTACCCTGATGTGTAAAACTTCTTACAGTATTCGCTGATTGTGTAAGTAGACCGCGTTTTGGAATACTCATTGAATCTATTTCCTGTCCCATTATTTGTTCGTACAATTCTTTCATGGCATCTGGTATTACAATTTTTGACCGATCTATTGTTGGCGGCCTTTTCATATTGAATAGTGATAACAAACTACTCTCAATTTCGACTAGAATTTTTGAATCTGGCTTAATTTTCTCACCGAGCACTTCTTTATTACTATATGTATCATCGTCAAGTTCTTCTGAATCAACCTCCGCATCCGTTGTTAGTGGTTCATTTGTGAGCCGCTTTTGATGTAGATCGCTGAAACTACTTATGACTCTACTGATTTGCTGATCTAGCCGCTTGCTAGGCTCTTCAGTTGATGTTGTTGTTGTTGTTGCTGACACAGCCATGTTATTATTATCCTTATCGGAATTATTTATATTATTATTATTTTTTTTTATAAAGTGTTGTACTTCGATTTCTGTTCTTTTCGCTTGCGTTGCATTTAGCACTTCACCACTCTTCACAATTTCAAGTTTTTTGATATCGATTTTCATGCTCTTATTATTTGTATATATTTTATCACTTCTCTGCTTACTTTCACTACTGTCAATATCACTGTCACTTTTCTTATTTTTATTTTTGTTATGATTTTTATTATTATTAATTATATTAATATTATATGTTAAACTATTACTAAGCTTATTATTGTTTTGTTCTAAAAATGTCGTTGTTTTTGTTTTTGTTGTTAATGATTGTGAGTTCGATTTTGATGAAATTTCGATCATTTGATCGAATTTTGTTATTGTAGTTAATTTTGATTTTGTTGTTGGTATTAAACTAGTCGCCGTTGTTGATTTGTTTTTATTTCGTTGTGGAGATATCGTTGTGATGAATATTGATGATATATCCTCGGTGCTAGCAACTTGTACAATTGGTTGAAAAGTCGCCAGCACTGCGAGGAGTAGAAGCCATGCGCGCATGGTCGCTTGCAGTTCTGAAATGAAACAAGAATTTTAAAATATTTTTAATATTACTTAAAGGGTTAAATAATAAGAGCATAAAAATTATACGTAAGATGAAAAAAAAATGAAACTAAAGCATTGAGCGTAAGAGCTGAAGAGTGTTAGAGCATTGGAGTGCCAAGTGTGGCCAACACAGCACGTACCCAAGAGTGAAACTGCTTGAGTGCTTCACTCATATTCACCGCTTATTCATCCAACAGCTTTTGAGTGCCTATCGATCGTATTAAGCACAAAAGTGCCTCATTTGAGTGGAATTCGTACTGTGTTGAGTTGAGTTCATAATTGAATTGTGGATCATTTGTCTTTTGGGAGATATTCGCAGGTCTGAGACTTAGTCTTCGACTGTATTGGCGCTCGTTGGGGAATACATTTATACTATTTTACGAAACTGGTGTGAAGAAAGGGAAGACGTTTCAGTTAGGTCCTTTCTGAGTGTAGGGCAGTGTGTAGTACACTTCCGGAAAAAATTAATTTTAATTTTCTTTTTAAGCAAGCAACTAATGACGTTTGAGTTGAAACAATAAACCATTATAAGATAGCATATATTATACTATATATGGAAGTATATATGGAAGTATGTTAATAAATATCAAATTATTATAATTATTTTTGTGTGTTGTATTAACTATTTGCTTTTTAATATATAATATATACTAATTATGGAGCGGGCTAATTAGTCATTTAACTAAATCAATAAATTTATAAAATCATTTTCTTAAGTAGTATTTTTTAATTACCTATTTCTGTGGGTTTTAAAATATTATTTATTATTATTCTTGTAAAAATTATTAAACCGTATATGAAAGAATTTAAATATTTTCCATTTTTCAAGTATGATTTTAATATATTTTTTCACATTATTATCATTGATTTACTTAAATTATTTATTTAAAGTATTCATATTAACTTATAAGACATTATCAACAAATATGAGGTCTAAAGAAGAAATTTCGTAATTTCTAACAAAATAAAATTAAGAAATTATTAGTACAGTAAAGTCGAGCATGAATGAACCAAGACACAAATTATACACATTCTGTCAAAGTTTAACGCATATCGTATGATTAGTTTTTGTTTGGCGCCTATACTAAGAAGTCGAAAAATTTTCGTGTGGCGATTTTTACCTTATTCCATGCAATGGCAATTTGAGTCGGGGGCAGGGGAAGAGGAAAAAGTCACACGGGGCCATATCTGGAGAGTACGGTGCTTGGTTGATGATTTGACCAAAAAACTGCGCCTCTTCTTGAATGAAATTCAGTTTTTTTGGCACCAGCCGAGAAGCGACGTGTTTCAAACCCAAAACATCAGTTAAAATGTGTTCGGCCGATCCATATGAGATGCCCAAAAACACTGCAATCTTTCTAATCGGTTCACAACGATTTTCCAACATGATCTGCTTCGCGGATTCAATGTTTTCTTCAGTAACAGAAGTTGTTGGGCGACCAGGAATCTCATCATAGTGCAAGCTTGTAGGACCGTCTTTAAACCTTTTAAACCATTCGTACCTGTACTCGTAGTTGCGAAACACACAAATCACCAAAGACCTTTTTAAACATTTTTTAACAGTTTCGGCACACTTGAATCCATTTGCAACACAAAATTTGATGCACGCACGTTGTTCTAATTTTTGATCCATTATAAAAATCGCCACACGAAAATTTTTCGACTTCTTTGTATAGACGCCAAACAAAATCTAATCGTACGATATGCGTTAAACTTTGACAAAATGTGTATAATAGTGTTCCGCACTTATCCGACTGGATAAGTGCGGAAATTCAAAACTTCAAAATTCTCGTTCTTTTTTTATCAGAAAGTATATATGTATATGGAAAACAATTATACAATACTACAACAATATATATAAAAATAACATATACAGAGGAACGATACATTTATCCTTTTCCGGATTCCAAAGATTTAGCTTTGAAACTTCTAGAAACTAAGTGGAACGAAATAAGACAATTTAGAAAAACAAAAACATCGTTATTTTTCGAAATACTAAATATTTGTCTCACAGACAACTACTTTACATTAAATAATAAAATATATAAACAACGGAGAGGTAATTCTTGCAGATATTGTAATGAAAATATAACTAAGACTTTTAACTAAATATGTAGACGACCTCTTTGGGATTGTAAGAACGAATAGCATCAATGATACTTTAAAAATTTTCAATGATTTTCACAAAATTATCAAATTCACCGTCGAAGAAAAACATTACCATGATTTGGACAACCATTTATTACGATACAATGATCGTATAATGAAAAAATGATATCAAAAACCAACAGTGTCTGGACGAATTATAAACTTGAATTCGAAACCCCCCACCATGTAGTATGGAACACTGAAAAATATATGGGTTTTAAACAAAACTAATTTCCCTACCCCAGTAATTCTTAAAATCTTAAAAGGAAAAAGAAATCAAAAACTAAACCAGAATACCCAAATTTATAAAACTGTTGTATGGGACATATACTTACAACTTTAAATCAAATTACAACATCCACAATACATGACAAACAACAATATAAAATTGCATATAAAACACAAAACACAATGAAGATGCTGTTCTCTAACACCAAATCGAAAATAGACACTTTGGATAAACACAATGTGGTTTATCAAATTAAATGCAAAGGTAATGTATCCAACATATGCAACCAAGTATATGTTGGCACAACAAAAAACAAGTTAAAGACACGTAAAGCCGGACATAAACACAGCGTAAAATATAAAAATAATATTGAGTCAAAAACGACATAGGCATCACACTGTATTACATCAAAGCATGAGCCGGACCTTGATAATGTAAAGGTGTTACACCAAGAAAATAATCAAACAAAACGCTTTTTCTTGAAAATGTTATACATTCTCCAAACTCCTAGTGACACCAGACTCAACTATAAAACTGACATACAACACTATGCTCAGGTGTATAAAAACACCCTTAAAAAAATCCGGAAGAGAATAAATGTATCATTCCTCTGTATATGTTATTTTTATATTTATTGTTATAGTGTTGTATAATTGTTTTCTATATACATATATATAATTCAAATTTCGATGTTAATGTAATTTATAATAGTTTCTTTGTGATATGTACTAAAATATTATAACATTGTATTAATACAAATTTTATAATCCACTGATGATGACTATAGATTATAGTCAAAAGATCAGTTAAAATAAAATCTATTAAAAACAAATGAAAATTTTTTAAAAGTTTTTTATTTACCTATTGACCAATTAACCCGAAAAAAACAAAATTATTCTTTATTTATTATGTATTTTTGTTTTTATGTGAAATACGTTTTATGACTGATGGATATCAAATTTCTAGACTGAAGTTCAGTACTTTTCTACATTCTGTGCCGATGTTGTAAGCGTGAATCATAGTTTGAGTACCGCAAAATGCAAGAAAATGGACTTTGCTTCTAGAAAGAATGAAACGAGATTGTACCAGAATGTTTGGCGCTGAACCGTTCGGAGAGTACAAAATAAATTCAAAATGCCTTATATAGAAACAGGCTACCTAAGGTCACAAATAGTGAAGAGACTCGTGCTATTTGAAGAGCTGATTATGATTTAGAGAAGAAAATCATTTTTTAATAATGAGTGGAACTTACAAGACCTACATGTCAATACTTATAATCCAATTTAAATTAAAAATATATTTATATAGATTTATATACTAGTTCTGTCAAAAATGTAATTATCCGCTACTTTGTATTCGTTACTCAAGAAATACCAGAGTAACGAATAAAGATTTTTTATTGTATTCGTTACTTTTACTCATATTACCAATGAGTAGTATTTGTTATAACTACTCTTTCGAGTACTTGATAACGACTACTTTTAAGCAGTTGTTTTCGCGGTATACGAGTAATAATAACTTCTTTATTTTCAACAAATTTTTTTTTGGTTTTCAAATGCATTAAAAATGTCTGGGAACGTTAATATAAAAAAAGTAAAACATTAGGAAGTGAAAAGCTAAATGCAAAAAATGCGGATCAAAATATTCAATCGAATAATTATTCTAATATTAAAACTATAATTTATTATAATTAATATACATGCTTCTAAAAATTCCTTTTATTGCCAAAAAATGAAACTTCAGTAACGAATACTAAGTAACGAATACTGAGTAGGGAATACATACTCGAAAAGTAACTACCCATTAGTTACAAATACGCAAAAGTAATGAAGTTTGACACCACTATTATATACTATACATTTGAATATTGAATATGAATACTAATTGATTAATACTAGATTATAAATACTTATCAGTAGTTTTATACTTAAAATATGTACAGCAGTAACAATAAATAAAAAATTACTTAATTAATACACAAATACTAACTAATGATATCATATATATGGTATACACGCTTAGTATTTTATTTAATAAATTATTAATGAATTTTTATTATTTTTGTATTAATATTTTTTAAAGGCAACGTACGTTTGCCAATCCAATTTCACGAAATAAAATAAATTAGTCATCGTTTCTAGTATGAAATGAGTTTAAAAATAGTTATTATATTTATATTGCGAAGCAATAAAATAGATAGTTTCACAGTCAGAGATTTTATTGCCATAAGGTTCAAATTTCGCAGCGATA